ATCTCATGCTAGCTTTTGTGACCAGCCTCACTGAGAGCCCAGTGTGCCACCTGGGAGTATGGATGGGGGCGGGTGGATATTCCAATTTAATAATGGAACACCGCATACTAGCTAATGTCACAAAGCGTATCACATCATTAAGGGATCAACAAACCAGCTTAACAGGTAGAGCAGTGCTTGCCAACACTATGCTTCTGTCAAAAGTATGGTTTGTGGCCCAAGCCATCACTTTCTTCTCATCTTTCTTTGCTTCATTATATGCTCTCTTACAAGGGTGGCTTTGGATAGGTCAATCTCTCTGTGCGACTAAAAGTCCTCTATGGTCCATATCAAAGCAGGGGATTGGGCCTGCTTAACTATGTGGACCAGGCATTCAAAATTATGGGTACATGGATTGCTTCAGTAATCAACACTCACTCCCAACTCAACACTGGTCACGTGTGGCATGATCCAACTTTGCCTGTGCCCTTAACCTCCACAACTCCACCCACTCCAACTCTCTTCTTAAGTATATGGCATCCCACCCATCTGCTGCAGGCCCGCATGGGACCCCCTCCCATTTTAAAAGGATCCTCCTTAATATGAGGAGCGCAGAATGGAGGATCAGTATCATTGGGTATACCTCAAAGAGGGGTCATCCTACGCCCCCAATTCAAACAGGAAATACAAGGACAAGCCGTTCTGAACAACTTGATACCCAGGAGGTCCCCTACCATGGTCAGAGTGGAATATCTGAACATGTTGGATATCCTGTACTCCTTAGAAACCCAGAAAGACATCTGGAAGTACACCCACCACCCTCTTTTACAGCCACAGGTTTGTTCTCATGCGTGGCGCTGCCTGAAATGGGTATACTATACTGCAGAGCAATCCAACGCATCCCATTCTTCATGTGTTGTGTGAGACTAATATGGGACTTTGGTCCACCGCCTGGAATAGTGCCCACCTTTACAAGTGATCTGGCGTGAGGTTCAGCGTCTTTTTTGCCAAGAGCAAACACAGACCTTCAGCTTATCTAAGAACATCTTCACCCTGTCCTTGAATTCCCTTATACGCCCTTCCCTATGAGCCTTAGTGGTGGTAATTGATATATGGACCATCCACACAGTTGTCCTTGATGTCATTTTGGGCTCTACTCCCATCTTCTGGGAAGATGTGAGATGATGCCATTCACACCTTATGGACCACTTCCAAGCCTGCTTGTTTGGATATTTACCATCCCATCAACAACAGTTGGTTTAATCCTGGTTTTCAATATGGTTCATCACTTCAGACCCTTTTCTTCATATGTGCTCAATAGTGGTGCAAGCTCTTCTCATGATACCCCTCTTCCTTCAATTGACATTCCCGCTGGCAACAGGAGGCAGCTTTAGTTCCTCTGGGGTGCCTATCATGTATAATGGTGTTTGGTTATTGCCACATATTGGAAGCATCCATCCCATGATCAGCCTTCCCCAAATAAATTTAGTTTAATGAAACCAACCAAAAACCATCAAAGTCTTACCAAAAACCAATTAACTTATAAAAATTTACCAATCACTAACTGCTTACTAAGATTAACAAGCTTATTAAACATTCTAAAACAATCAACCACTTGGCAAAACCATTTAAACTATTTAATTAAATACTAAACTTCTCAGCCATAACATTATACTGATTACCATTAATAAATTTAGAATTATCACTTATTACATATAAAACTTTTTATTTTATTATAAAATTAAAAAATCTGGCTTTGAGGTGCACATGGACCCCCCATCCACCTACATACAAAATTATAAAGCTCTATATGCCATAATTTTAGCTGATCATTGTGATCATGCATGCAAACACTTGCTTTTATTATAGACTAGCAGGTAGCATGGCTTTGTTTAAGCTTATCAATTTAACTGCTAGTTAAGATATTGATAGCTAATCTACCCAGTGTTGATTGGGTTCATGATTTATTAAATAAATAAACTTTTTTTGATTTATTAAATAAATAAACTTTAATGTTAAGATATGATGCTAAGAGGTCAAATTTAATTAGGTTAGTTGAAACCCTAGATCTTTTTTACTTCTTTTTCTTTGCCTCACAAAATTGTTTTTGTTGAAATCTTGCATTTTCACTTAACACACTTTCTGATAAACTTCTTTAGATTTTTCACATTTTATTGGGGTTGGAATACAATGCAATAATTAAGCTGGTTTTTAATTTTTATTAATAAGATAAAAAGTTTTATATGTTAAAAGTGAAAATTATATTTATATTAATAGTAATTAGTATATTGTATTATCTGATAAGTATATTTTTTAGTACTAGAAATCTGATAAGTATATTATTTAGTTTATTCAATAGTTTTTCTTACTAAAATACTTCTAATATTAGAGTAGAAAGTTTTTCAAGGTGTTTTAAGTTCAATAAATATTACATTGGATAAATTATAAAATTGATAAAATTTTAAGAAAAGTAAATCTAAAGCCCATAATAGCCTTTTTCTCTCTAAATTATTTATCAAATAATTTTAGATCTGTTTGTTGATGGGACATTTTTCTAGAGTTGCTTTTGGGTTTAAAATTTACCAGATATTTTAATCATTTGAATTTTATATTGGTAAATGGTCATTAATAAGTTTAAGAAGAAACCAAATCAATCAAATCATTTAAAAACTACTAACTACTTTCTAAAACTAACTGAGCATATTTTATTTTATTCGAGGTGGGCCGACCTGGGGACGATACCGCACGATTAAGGGAAATCGAATGAATGGGAAAGGAGGATAAAATCCGGAAAACCTCCACGCGCGGCGTATGATAGGCCAGGACTCCATGGACCGCCTTTGCTATTCGCTATCTCGGTTCGGGGCATTGGTGCGCAACGCCAACACAGTCATAATTGTCCCCTACCCAAAGTTCCAGTACCGGAATCGAACTCGGGGAGGCAGTGGTAGAGGTCCCTACTCTACCACTTGGGTATCCTCCCCACTAACTGAGCATATTTTTTTAGTACTAGATGGTCCCAACCCAAGGGGGGATTCATCGATGTTGAGCATATTAAATCTACTTAAAACCACCAACCATTTGACAATGCCACTGAAACGATTAGACCAATAAAATAAAATGCTTAGCTGCAACAATATGCTGATTACCGTTAAAATAAATATATAATTTTCATTTATAAAAAATACTGTCTTTTATTATAAAATTAAATATGTGTTTTGAGTGTGCATAGACCCCCTCATGTTTATCTGAATTAAAATTCTCAATGCTCTGTGCTGTAGTTTTGGCTGGGCATCATGCACATACACACAAACACTAGCTTTTATTAATATATAAGATTAGATATCAATTTAGGTATATCAAGGTTTTATTTAATTTTAAGCTAACTTATAAAATATTCTGGCTCTCAGATAATATGATTGTCATATCTTGTGTATATCAAGAGATTAAGAGATTTAAGGAGTATTATAAGGTACTTTACATGTCTTGCTTTTTGACTGTGGTGTAGAAATGGCTGGTAGCTAAACCTGTTAATAGCAACTATGACTTATTTTTGTGGGATTCTAGTAGCAATAGCATATATAATTAAATATAATTCTAGATAACATGAAGCTAGATCTTGTATATTAATAGAAGAAATATCTACACTTGTTTTTTCAACCCAAAAGTATGAACTTCGGAGTTTAAAACTTAACTATGTTTGAGGGCACTCCAGTGGTAGAGTATGTACTCACTACAACTGCCTCCCTTAGTTTGATCCCTGTAGAAGAACTTTTTGTAGGGGACATTATGACTGTGTTGGTATTGCACACCAATGCCCCAAACTGAGATAGAGAAGAGCAAGGCAGTCCATATTGTTTCTGGCCTATCATACACCGCACATGAAAGTTTTCTGGGTTTTATTCTCTTTTTCCATATCTTTGATTCCCCTTAATCAGTGCAATTGTCCCCAGGTTGGCCCACATCAAATAAAATTTAAAAAAAATTAAATTTAAAAATTAAACCTGGTAGTCGTGGGACTACCGGTAGACATGGAATCATGGGCAAACTTGTGCTTTGGGGAGGAATGAAGGGTTTGTTAAAAATGTTGTCGAAGCACAAGTTATTAATGTTCTCATCGTCTGTTTTCTTGCTAGCTAGCCGTACGCTCGATCTGAGTCGCTTTGGGGGCACGCCGGATGACCCAGGTATCGGAGATGCGGGCCGCTTGGGCGCTGACGGGGTTTCGTCAATCTTCAAATGGTTGCCATTGTCTAAGTTCTCGGCCGATTTCTTTGATTTTAGTCTCAAACGATAGGCCTGTTGACGCTCTGCATATGATTTGCCGGTTTTCGGTTTGAAATTTTTGGTTCGAGTTTTATCGCAATTTTTAGGTCGAGGCATTTCAAATTTTTGAGTTCAAATGTTATTATTTTCTGTGAGTGCTTCTGGTACTCGAAATTGGTGTTATTGGAGAGATTTAGTTCTGAGGATCACAACGCACTTTGTATTTTCGCGATCGGACTTGTAGTTCCCGAGATATTTAAGTTTTAGTGGAGCAATTTAGAAATTTTCGGCGCAAAAACACCCTCACGCAGACAAAGCCTAGATGCGGCTGAAGTCAGTTGTCAAAATTCTCAGCGCTATTGGTGGAAGGGGGCCGAGTGACTCGATCACCTGACACCTGGTTTGCTGGGATTGGTTGAGCAGTTCGTGAGATAGTGGTATGCCGAAAGCACATTTGAAACATAACGGTCGATTTTCGCTAAACGTGAGTAAGACATTACATGCCTATGGATTTCATGTCAAACTTAACTGTTAGTATACTAGCAGGACAGAGGTATAAATTGAACAATTTTTCTTTTGATACTATTAAACTATAACAATATCTGGTTATCACCATAAGTACTATGAAAATAAATTGCTAGCTACAATGAGACTGGGTGTTTTTTAGATTTAGGTTATAAAAATAGCTTTGGTATTTAATTGTAGTGTTAATAGATTAATTTTTATTATAATAAAGTTAAAATTAAAAATTTAATTGATTATGCCAGGGATCGAACTGGAACCTTGAGCTACGTAAACTCACGCCTTATCCATTAGACCACAGGACCTCAATTTCTAATTCTTTAAGTTTATATATTCTCAAGCAAGCTTACGCATTTGCCAGAAGCAGTTACACGCTTCTGTAACTAATAGATAAATTAGGATACTAAATGCCATCACAAGTTCAAAACTTGTACTGTATAGAATGAAAACCCTTTCTCCCATTTTATAATATTATATGACAATATGGGGCCATTTAACCCTCCAGCCATGGGCAATTGTTTAGTTTTTTTGTATAAAATTGCAGGTGATTTTTATTCATTATTTATAATAGCTATAAGGATTGTATTAATGAAGTGTAAAAAGAAAACTTAAAAATTTAACTGCAAATATGAAATTTAATTTAAACTTATCATACATTATGTGGAAAACACTATTATTGCATTCAACAAAAAATTTTCTTATAATTATTAGTATGATATATCTTGAAGCAAGGTTCCATGCACAAACCAACATTGTAATCTTTGCACCAGGTTCTTGTTTATATTCTTAATTTTTTATTATCTGCACTTTGTTTAGAACAGCATACAGCACATATTATCCACAGTTCTTTTTTGATTGAATTTGGAGGAATGTGGGATATGGTGTGCCTTTCTATCAATCTTGTTTAATTTTTGTCTCTTTGTACATTTTGGGGTGTTGTTTGTAAACATTTTTTAAAATCTCTTCATTACATCTATTATAAATTCAAAAGCTTTTTTTCATTTTTATTTTTTTGGTATAACTTAAATGCATTGTACAGAGACTAATCAGTGAGATGCCAAAAAACTTTTTATAGTATTTTTTGCTGCTTTTAAGTGGTCTAATAATAAGAAAGTTCTTTATCAACCCTGTCAACGCCTTCCATTGTGTGATTGTATTCACATATCCATTGAGGTTTTATAAATTTTGTTACCTCTACTTGATTTGATTTTAGAAGATGATGGGTTGTAAATTGTGCTCAGTGCACAAATTGTTTTTTATCTTTCCATTTTAGCACCATAACTTTGCTCCTTTAAAAATACTCTAATTTCTCCTTTATTAGGGTTTATAGCTGCAAACGTTGATGGTAGATCCTTTTCTATTTTCTCTAAGAATTCCATGTATATCTTTTCTGCATTGCAACAAATAATCAGCAAGTTGGGGGAGTATGAAAATTGTCAGTTGTTACATGATAACCTATGTATAGCAAAGGATCTATTAGATGTAACACAAATTTAGTAGATATAGGATACTTATCCTATTTATCCATAAACGGTGTACAAATAAAATATAAAATGAAAAATTTCCATAAATAGTCTGATTGTGACTTACATAAAACAAATGATTATGTCAAAGAAGGATCTTTTCAGTGGAATTCATTGTTTCCAGATTAGTCTTTCTTTGAATAATACTAACCTTTTATCTACAGTAATATTTTTTCTGAAACTAATGATGAGCTAAATTTTTTGCACAGATATACAATTACTTCTTATAATTTTTGTAATTTTGGACATGGATGTATATCTTGATTGAAAGTAGAATTATTGGAAAAGTGCCAGAATTTCATAAACATTCTAAATCTGTCTTGTGGAATAAACTTCAAAAAATTGATATACAAAAGTTGATTCATATTTGACCAATACCATTCTTTTTATTTAACTGAGGCAAGCTGACCAGGGGAAGTGTAAGTAGAGTGTCTGTAACTCTCCTGTTTCCAGCGTGGAGGTGCTCAGTGCAAAGAGCCAACGTGTGGAAACTAGCTATTAATACTAAAGCTACTAGCGCCCAACAGAGGGTGCTGGAGCAATAATAACTAAAATTAAAAAGCGCGATCAGGAAACACCCAAAAAATGATGAGGTGCACAATAAGAGGAGAGGTAAATGGACCAGGTTGGAGGGGACCTAGGCGAACCAATGGTGCACTTGGGAAAAATTGGATTGTGTTCAAAATGGCAAATTGAACAGAGCACAAGACTTCCTCAAAGGGGTCCACACACATGAACTTTGGTAATAACATTTAAAAAATGGAAAAACGGGGGAATTTTTATTTGGGAAGTTGACCAACAATGAATGTTGGTTGGGGAAAACGTATATAAGCTTGGACAGGGAAATTGGGGTTATGCCACAGTGGGCCCAAGCAGCGATTTACCAATAGGGCAATACTGCCATCCAAATTAGTGGAATAGGCTGAAACTGACTTCACTTGAGTGATTGACTGAAGTTGGATTTGACCTGAGCGCAATATTTTGTAGATGGAACAGGTTTCAAATCCCCATTCCTTGACTAACTGAACTGAACCATCTGCCTTTATTTGGTAGATAGTTCATTTTAACGCTTGGCCTGACATCAGGGGCTGGGCACTCAGCACCCCACTAGGACCAACCTGAGCATATTTTGCCCTTATCCAGCGCTGATCTAGGGTGTGCTTCAGGTCTGGGAGTCCCTGTAGCTTCACCTTTTGGGCCTCCAGGCGCCCAGCATTATCTTTGAGGCTGGTCCCCACTATTATGTCATGTGTATATGACAGGAAGGGCAATAACAAAGCTGAAACTCCAAAACTAAAACAACCAAAAAATAAACTGACCACCTTTATTAAGAAGCGGAAAACACAAAAGAAATGAGTTAACAACCTACAAGGTGGCACAGCAGTTATTCACTTATCCTACCATGGCAGAGGGGGTAGGGGGATCAGGTGAATCATCATCAGGTTCAGCATTGCAGAATCAGATCAATATTGATATCAAGGGGGTTGGGGCATCCACGGGATGAGGTTTAAGGTGAAGTAAATAGTTGTTGAGAATGACAATTTGGTCCTGGATCAAAGCCTCTATGAGTTCAGCAACTTGATGTTCATCTTGAATGTGGGTATCAGGAAGTTGGGCTAATTTCTCAATATAAGCTCTAGTGATATGTGTGGATGGGAAAAAGTTTTCCAGTTCAGCAACATGTTTGACAGCAGTGATGCAGTTTCATAAAGGCGTGTGATTTCCTCTTTTGAAATAGTAGGGAGATTGAGGGGAACAAGGGGGAATGCAGCCCATTTTTAAATTCTGTGACAAATTTTGCCATGTTCTGTAAAGATGGCAATTTTTGGGTAAGGCCACCACGGCCTTGGCAAGCTGGTGGTCATTTTAGAAAAGGGGTAGAATTGGGTTTGAAGATATATCAATTAGTTGGGGCTGGGGCATCAAAGTCTGAAACTAGATAATGTTCTAAATCAAATGGATAACCCAGTGGTGGGACAATTTCACCAGATTCAGTCACTTAATCCAATAAGTTCCAGAGATTTTGGTTGACTTATAAAATTTGGTGATAGGTGTCTGTGGTTGGGTAAGTTTTGGGAAGTGAGCTTTTTTGGATTGAACGTGGGTCCAAACCTGATCCTGATGGGTTGACATGGGTATAATATGTCTGGATTGGATTTGGGTTGCTTGATTTTGTTGCTGATTCATAAAGCGCTCAACCTGGGGGGTGGCAGCCATAGTACCCACTTAAACGCTGTTGGTGTGGCCTCCTGGGTGGGGTTGGCCGTATTCACAGAGTTTAATTGTATTGACATGACTTTTTGGTATGGTCCAATTCATGGCAGAGGAGACAAATTGTGTGACTGTTGTTGATGTGAGCCCAAAAGAATTGGTTAGGTGCAAATGGGATATAAACATGCAGTGGGATGTTCTGGTCCATGTTCAGCTGGTGAGGGTAATGGTGGCCATTTCCTGAGGCGCCACAAGGCGCTCAGTACCAAAAGGGACAATAAATTGGAGGATGGGTTTTTGGCATAAGTGAACAGCCCTGACATCAACTCCTCATAAAGTGTTTGAGGGGTAAGGTGTGAGGGGAGATTTGTAAAGGTCACCACAAGTGTGTAATCATCTGGGAGACGTGTTTGGGTGGTGGTAATGGAAGTGTTTTTATATATTAAGGGCGTAGCTTCTTCAGGGGCTGCATCCTCTTCAGTGGGAAAGCCTGTCAAAATAGCCTTATATGGGCGGAAGTCTATAAATCCTGCTGGTGCAAAGGTGACAGTTGCCAGCTCAATTGTTGCTTTGTTGGCATATGGGAAGAGACGTCCATACTCAACTCAGAGGCAAAAGTGGAACCAATATCATTATTTCTCAGGTAAATAAAATAAACTTTGTAAAAATAAAATGCTAATAAATATTCTCATTTCTTCTTCAAGCAAATCTTTCCATTTTTTGAATTCAAAAATAATTTTTAGATAGATTGACTATTTCCTGACTAGCATATTTAATGATTTCAACTATCAAAATATGAATTAAAATATTGTCAATAAAAATTTCAAAATACTTAAGTGGTGTAGCATTTATATATTGATATTTATATTTACAACCAGGGTTACAGTAAAAGGAAAAGCAGATGGATCAGAAGGAATATTGTTTATATCAATTTCTTTACATACCCAACAACTTGTAAAAGTATCATCATCATCTACATCTGAGTATTCATTTCTCTCAGTAAAATTTTCATCAGAACTATTGTCTCCACTTCTTAAATTATCAAAACTGTTGCTTATTTCACAATCACTGTAATAACTAATAGATGTTTGTAAGAAAAGGGTCATTAATCTCATTTCTAGCAGATAATGCACATTTCTACATACTGTAAATTTAGGGTAATTATTTAATAGCCAATGGTAATCTAAATGAACCAATTGCTGTTATTCAACTGAATAAAAATCATATATTATGTACACAGATAAGAAGTGAATCTAATTACAAAAGATAAATATCATAAATGAAATAATCTCAATATTGTAAAATAAATAAAATAGATATGGTTAGTTAAAATAAAACTATATATCATACTTACAATGTTATTAGTTAAAATAAAACAGATTCAACGTAGAAATAGTGACTCCCAATGCTTAATATCATAAAATTCATAAGCTACGCAATAATAGCATGTCCTGGCAGAATTGTTAGAATAAGAAAAATGTGCTATGATCATTCCCCACAGCTGGAGGGTTGAAAAAGGTAGATATGGTAGTTGCCTATGTGGGATGGTTCCTGATACCACTATTTATTAA